TCCTGTGGGCGCTGGATGAGGAGATCCCGGTTTCGATTCCCGGTGGAACCAATTTTGAAAATTCTGGTCTGGGTAGTTCCCCAGAGTGAATTCCTTTGCCCTGGAGTACGGAAAATTCCCTGGTTTGAGATTAGGTAACTGGCGTGATTGTCTGGAACATTACTTATTATTGTTAATAGTGCAACGTGCCACAAAGGTCTTTAAAATAAATTAATAATTTTCATTACCGATAGATCACGTAACAATGGGATAGGCAATAATAGTATCAAATCACAGTCGATTTCTTCAACATTAATGTAAACATAATTGGGGCGTATTATTCGAAAGAAGCTACACGTGCTACGAAATTTTATTCGTAGCAAATTAGTGTGGTCATTCGACACTATTAAATCTCCCTCAAGCATTTTAAGGAATTCAATTACAACGTTTCGAACATTAAGATCTAATAAAAGTTAAGGTTATTAATGACTTTATATCAACCGATTTCAAAAAAGGAGGCGGTTCTCAATTTGAGTGTATATTTTTTGTGTGTATGTTAGGCTATTACTCCGACATTTGTGAACTGAATAAGGAAAAGAACTATCGAAATCAATAATTCTTTTTATTTTTGTTGAAAAGGGAGTACCTCAGTGGTAGTGCCATTCAAATTGGAAGAAGATATTTTACCGTTAGGGGATACATCCAATATATTGGATTTTACCCACTTTCCCAGATGTAATTCCAATGAAAGTAAAATATTATGGTGATCTACATCTGATATAATGACGGAAATGGTAGACAAATGGGAGGAACTGCTCAACGGTGTACAGCAGCTACCCAGTGTTTGGGCTCATATTATTGGTTTTGACGAGGACTTCCATATTACACATTTTAGTTATCGAAGAGGAGATCAGGGTAATGAACACAGCGAGAGTGGAGCGAAATTTTGAGGTTGGCTTATTTTTAAATTCATGTTTATTATTTGTCATTTGATCCTAGTTCGTTAGTTAAAGCTCTTAGTGGCACTGCAACTATTAGGGACAGGTGTGTCGCTTACCGCCAAGCACACGACTTCTTCGTCCCGGCACTTAGTATTCTAAAATAAAAAAGAAGCTCCGCTCTAGGGAGACCCTGTATTGCTGATGCCATGGATACACGCATAGACAACCACAAAATTCACACATACTCACGAGATATATAAATGAAGGCCATACAAATATTTCTCTAAATCTGCTAAACGATTATGATAACTATCCGTTTTCAAAATTCCCTAGACAGAGTCATAAATTATGATACTAAAACCGAGCGACGGTAATACAGCCAACAAACGTAGACATCCTAACTGGGTATAGTAACAAAAATGTTTTGCTACGCTTACGTAACTCCCCGAAACGAGCTTCCGACGTCTAAACGACTTGATATCGTGCGATAAGGATGTTTATGGAATATGTTTTCAGGTTTCAAAAACATATTATTACATTTAAGTAATGAAATATTTCGTTTAAGAGTGTCTGAGTACCCAGATCAGATATATGATTATGCAATCGATCAAATAATTAATTTTTCATCAGATTTTACAAACATAAATAAAAAAGTAACGAATAAAAAGGGCAAATGTTAACTAAATTAAAAGGGCACTGTTCATTGTGGTCATGCAAAAAATGTGTGTCAGAATGATACTTAGTGGAAGCTGGGGGTGTTGTCTCTGCCTACCACAATGGAAAAAGGGCGTGATAACGTATATATACTTAAGTAAATATGCTTTTTTAAACATCAAGTGACGAGACGAGCTAAGCGACACTTCTGTTCATAGAAGTTCCAGTGCCATACAGAGCTTTAAATCGCTATACTCTGAGGGACACTCCACTGCGCCTGTCACCCCTGAGACATAAGTTGACAAGTTTCGTGGGTCTGTAATTTCACCAGCACCTTTACCCTTCAAACCGGAACGCAATAATATTCGCATTACAGCTCGGCGGCCGAATTAGATGAGGTGGAAGTACTTCCCTGGAGGAATTCTTTCACAAGGAGCTCCATTGCTATTACAATCGATGGCAGAATGCCTTAAAATGTATTATCTTAACGGATTATGTATAAAGTGTGAATCAACGCGGCAACATATGTATTATTATGGCTTCTAATACAACATATGCAAAATCCATTGTCCAAATGACAATACCAGATTTTTATGATACTTGAAAGTTGAAGGTTTGAAATTATTATTGATACATAAAAATTCCTTCGATTTTAACCGAGCGGTGGTACATATTCACCCACACGGTTCGTGCCCAGTCACATTAAAGGATTTTTTCCTTGTATTTGATGTTTGTATCAATAACAATAACAAACTAATGAAGTATTTTTATTTTATGTATTTTTTCAAAGAACTTGAAATTAACATAATAATACGTATATGATATGTCATGCTAAACCTACAGGTTGGTCCTCCCGCGCGACACGGTCACCAGTTGTGGCCGGTTGCAGACCAGTTGGTGGTATCCGTCCGGGACACACGTGCGTATTTACCACAAAAGGACAGGATTGAAAATTTTTCCTCACAGAAGTTTAAAAATATAGGATATTAGTGCAAGTTTCCGCCTGACTTTAAGTGTATTTTATAACCAACCATTCCATGATCGGGATCAGGAAAAAAGAGGTTATCTACCTATTATAAGCTTTTAAAAAATGGCTAATTAAAATAGAATGAATGTATCTGTAAAAATATGTCTTATGTATATTTCACACAAATAAACTTAGGAAATGAAACTATTTTTCCGGATTTAAATCGCGTATATTTATTTTTTCAAACAAACCGTCGTGTCAACCGTGACCATGGGACCTGTAAAGGGCGAAACATCGGTTTGATTGAAAAACAATTGAAAACAAGTATACGCGATTTAAATCCGGATAAATAGCTTCATTTCCTATGTGTAACAATCGCGAAAACCTAAGAACTCGATATAAATAAACTTCTATTAAATTATTATATAACTTATTTGGGACGTCCAAGGTACCACTGGGGCGACGAAGTCCAGAAAAATCTCAAGGACTCGGTGGTAGTGGCTGGAATCGTGGCAGAATCTAGTGTCGGAGGCCAAGACCCACTTTGAGTCACTGCGCTACCGAAGTAAGTAAGTAAGGGTGTTGGTGAAATTAAAAGCATATGGGACTTTTGTCAGTGCCTCCCAGATCTTTGCGATTTAAATCTCTGAGTGGCGCTGCAACTGTCACGGATAGGCATGTCGCTTACCACCAGGCGCACGACTTGTGCTTAATGTCTCTTGATATCATAAAAACAAATAATAAAAAAGCATTATTTTTACGACTTTCAAGTGATGAATCACTTTGATGTATATTCAATCAAGGATTCCGTACCCTTCAGAATCAGTATATCATGCTGAAATGAACAAGTAAATTCAGCAAAATGTAACAAAAGCCGTCATCCGAAACAAATGTAATTAATTGCATACTTAAGCGGTATATACAGATTATACTTTGATCTGGCAATGGTCCAAATGTGTTTGAATGCGGATTGAACGAATTACAGCGACAATCGTGTTAAATCGACACTAACAAAGTTGAATTATACTATATTCATTGAATGCAATGCACACATTTTAACCTGATGGCATACACTAGTATCAAAGAACAATACCAAGTGTATTAGCATTTGTTTAAATATTGTTACGAAATTCCAAATGAATTTCAATTAATCAAACCTACTTGGGGAACTTGTCATCAGGATTTTGAGCACTTTGTTGGGAGTTTCTAGACCCTATTCCTAGTATTAATAAAAGTATAAACTATATTTAAAATTGTAAATGATACTATTTTCTTCGGACCTAAATTAGGTGCATTTGTTTTTTGAAACACACCAACGTAAATAAATAAATATTAAACAACTTTACATACGTGGCCTTGATCCCAAAGTAAGTAACTAAAGCACTTGTGATATTGGAAACAAGGACGGTATCACAAACAACTCAGTTAAAAGGTTAAAAGTTAGTTTTCCACATAAACCCGGCCGGGCATCAAACCCGGGACCTCAGAGATGGCGATATCATGCCATTGACCACTGAGGTCGTTACCGATTCTGGTTAATACCTTTAAAATCTCTGTCAGCCGAAACCATAGGACCTGTAAAGGGCCTAAAAAAACAAATTTATATGATCCGAAAAACTAGTTTCATTTCCAATATGAACAATCACAAAAATCTAAATATTCGATATTATGAAAACATTTAGAAAATAGTCAAACAAATACTTTTGTACATCTTATTGTACCTTACATATTATATAAAAGATTATGAAAAAATTGTCTATTTTTAAAAGTAAAAAAACAATGAGACTTATTTTCCCACTAATCGAAAACACAGTAAGTGCCGCGTGAAGGAGTCATGAAAGTGTGAAAATAATTATTTTTTATACTGAAGAAAGCTTTGTTTTGAGAAATTATATTATAGAATAATTGTCACGTATGTTTACATCTATCGTGTTTTCGTTCAACATTATTCAGTAAAAGCTATTAGCTAATGGCAAATATGCGTCGATAACTTTGGAAGGGGTAGGTCTTACTGTAATATGAAATAGGTTATGGAATTAACAAAGTAACTGAAGACAAACAATTTGAAATTGAAAAATGTCTTATTGCGGTTTGTGTTCGTTTCTTAACATAATATTAGAACTATATAAGGAAACGGAAAGGTAACTCGTACACGAACATGTTCCAATTATTTTTAAGACAGATGCTAATTTACTTAGCATTGAAACTATGACAGTGATGAAAAACCACTGTTGATTATTTTTATTGAAAGAAAAATTGAAGTGTCATTTGTTAAATATCCGTTCTCGTTATCTCTGCTTCCAAAACATTTACAAACTTTGTGACATTTAGAAAACCATTCTAAAGATCCCCAAAATCAAATATAAAAATCGTTAAAACCTCTATTGTACTTTTATATCAAAACAATTGACTGAATAAGAATCGTTATTGAAAAGAAAAGTTTTGAAAAAGGAACTCACCGTTCGATGTTTCAAGCAAAACCGTTACCCCGCGGAGCTGAGGACGTTGTGAGTTCTCCGCTGCCACCGTGCCACTGCAGTACTATCGACCGGCCGGCATATGAAATAAGCGGACAGCACGCAACGTTAGACGTAAGTTCTTTAAGATTGTCCTACATTTTTAAACTAATACACTTATTATTCTAATTAATTAACCTATTTATTACCTACTATCCTTCAGTTTATTTAAAAAAATATATTTTCCCACTTTTGTATGACAATTCGACGTAGCAAGATTCACGCTTGCAACAAAGAACTCTGTGACTTTTAGATGTATGATGTACGATTTAATTTTCGTTACCATGTAGATTATTAAAGTGCGACCCTAAGTACATGAAATTGCCATTCTTTTCAATCTTTTGTTCTATTAAATATGGATAAGAATTCCATCAATTTAACAGCATTAAATGGAAGAAACAATTGAATTTGACTAAACATTGTAGTTTTACTTAGAAAGAATCAATGCTTTCTTAATCTTAATAGAAATTCTCTGTTGACTTTTATTATTGAACAAATTATATATTTTTATAAAGTTATTTCAATTCAATGTACCAGCACACCGTATGTACGAGTACAACCAATTCGAAAAAAGTGTTGAGCCATGACGATGATTTGTATGATTGTTTTATTGGCAAAATATCAATTATTGAAATTAATGAAAAGAAAAAGTTATTCATTTTGACCTTTTATGAGTCAGCCATTAGTACCCCATAAAATCAATGTTCTGTTAACTCATGTCAGTACACTTATTATGTTTTCTATAGATTAAAGATTATAATAATTTTCGATTCATTTGCCCCGTAAAGCAGTAAATAAGTAATGACAAAGGGTTTTCCACAGGTGGAAATGTTGCGATATTGAACGAGTATTGTATGGATTCACTTGCAGCTGTTCTGCAAATTATCAGTGCTAATTGGATGTGACCTGCGGGTTTGCAAAAGGGGTCATAAGCAATACTTTTTGGTATACTTTATATAAATGTGAAAGTACTTACTTAAATACTTACGTTTGTACGCCAAAAATTGCTGAACCAATATTGATGAATTTTGGTATAGAGATAGAAGGGACCCAGGAGAAGGACATAGGCTACTTTTTGTCACAAAAATAGATCCTAAAGGGGGTGAAATAAAGAATGAAAGTTTGAATGGAGAACCTGAAAAATAATGAAAATTAGTTTTTTATTTATTATACGGCACGAACAAGTCGTGCACCTGATGGTAAGCTACACGCCTTTCCATAACGGTTGCAGGGCCACGCAGAGCTTTAAATCGCGAAGATATGAAGGGTACTGCCACCCGGAGACATAAGTTGTTGACAAGGACCATGTGCCTATAATTTCACCAGCATCCTTACTCTTCAAAACCGGACTGACATTACTGCTTGGCGGCAGAAATAGATAAGGTGGCTGTACTACCCTGGATGAACTCTTTCACAAGGAGCTCTACTGCTGCTAAATTATTATTATTATTATATTATATTATTAATTAGTCTAGTACCTACAGTATGCTACGCGAAGTACTCCGCGCTGTCAAAGTCCTGGGCATAAGCTACTTTTTTTTTTAAATTTGCCTTTTTAAACATTGCCTGGTCTCAAACTAGGGAAATGCCTTTTCTATGAGTATCGGAGCAACGGGCACTGTTTTTCTAATGAAACCCTGACACATCTGTCCATGGTAGTTGCAGTGCCACTACCTTAGGAGATCCCGGGTACGATTTTTTGTAGGACCAATTCAGAAAATGAACATTTAAAAATAATAGTTCTGGTTCGGGAGCTTTGGGAAATTTTTGTAGCAGAACTAGAACTCTTTGTGAATGAGTACGTCCAAGTAAGTACTGCCACCTTACCTGCTGCTGAAATTGCAGGTACATTAAACTTGTGAGCTTATGTCTCAGGGAGACAGACGCAGTAGAGTGCCCCTCAGATCTCAGCGATTTAAAACTCTGCAAACTCTGCATGCATAGATAGTGTCTAAAAAACATACATCTTCTTCTTATACTTCCCGCCCTTTTCCCATCGGGGTAGGCAGAGACAACAGCCTTAAACTAATTACGATTCTGACACACATCTTTTGCCTCATCACAACGCATCAGTGCTTCCGTACACGCTCGTTGGTTAAGATATCCAAGCTAACGCCTTATAAATCTGTTTTGTCAATCTTCTTTCATTTATTCTCTACATGCCCTAACCAATATTTAACAAATGAAGTAGGACAAACTTGTTTTACTTTGATGGCTTTTTGATTACCTTTTCCTAGACAGTAGTTTCCTTGCCGTAGCGCTTACGAATCAATATTCAATATAAAATTGTCAATATTATGTAAATCATTAAGTTTTCCCGAATAGATTCGACGCTCCACTTCTCTTGATACCTTCAAACAACGTGTCAAGGGTCACTTCCTCAACTCCTAAGTTTGGTCTTTTCTCTACTATCCTTTCATTTATTTCCTATACTTATAACTCATTTTTCTTTTTCCTTTAAAGTATAAAAGTATTTAATATTATTATTTATTGTTGTTTTAAAATTATTTGTATGTATATATATACAAATGATATTAAAACATATCAATGTATATACATATTAAACTGCCTCCGTGGCCGAACGGTTACCATGCCGGACTGCCACGCAGAGGTCCCAGGTTCGATTCCCGGGCCGGAGAAATGTTTGTATGGCCTACATTTATTTCTCTCGTGAGTTTGGGTGTAATTTGTGGTTGTCTATGTGTGTGTCCATGGCACCCGCGACACAGGGTTTCCCTAGTGCGGGGCTATGTCGAGTGTGTGCGTTATTTATTATTTATTTATTATATTATATTGTATTATATACATACATATAACTATATATATATATATATATATATATATACGTAATTAATTAAAAGTAAAGTAGATAGGTATCTATCTAAGTACATATTTTTATTATTACTTATGTAGTATACGATAATATTCTTTGGTTGCACCCCTTTTGCATATCCCAAATGTCTATCCTAGGGTTGCCTGGAAGAAATTGATACATGGCAATAAGGACGCCTCTTGCACATTAACTTACTATTACTATTATACTTAAGCTGTACTGTACTGTACTTTATAGCTGTACTGTATTTTAAACTATAATTTTATGTGTAATAAAGAATATTTCATTAATTCATTTAAAGTATGTCAGTACGTTGTTGATACTTATTATGTTACTGGATCCATTGAAAATCAGCATCGTAGCACATGCAGTGAGACGACACCAAGCTGAGTGGATGATGGATTCCGTGACATCACAGCATGTAAGGATTACCTCTTGATTATTTATTGTTATAGTTGTTTGTTACCTGTTTGTGTGCTATTTGCGTGTATTACATAGGGCGCACTATAAGTTTCCTGAACTGGCCACTTACATAAACAATATTTAAAAATATTTACAACATTTGAAAATGGAACTCTTTGGCTGTAGAATTTGTTTCATCTGACTGTCACTTGTTCTTACATTGTGGCGTCATTTTACAAATTGGTTGTCTACATAACCATGATTTAACTAGTGAAAATTTTCGTAGTATGATTTCCTACGTCTTTAAGTGTAATTCAACAGCTTAGCGGAGCTTCGCTCGGCTTCAATCTGCTTTTGGCGATGAAGCACCGTACACGACGACTATTTATGGCTGGTTTGCAGAATTCAAACGCGGTCGAGTGAATCTCAGTGACGAATTTCGTGATGGTCGCCCGTCCACTGCTGTGAACAACAAAAACATCGGTGCCGTGCGCCGTATGATCAAAACCATGTGACATACCATGCGATTCAAATTCAAATACAATCAATACTACACAAACATTTGGGTGTGAAAAACCTGTGCTCTCGGTGGATCCCACACAATTTGACTGAGGCTCAAAAAACGGATCGCGTCACTTGGTGCAATGTCATGCTTACCAGATTAAATGAAGGGGCGTCAAATTTGATGTCGAACATAGTAACAGGTGACGAAACATGGATTTATAGTTACGATCCCAAAACGAAGCCGCAATCGAGCGTATGGGTCTTACGAGATGTGCCTAAACCAACCAAAGTGGCGCGCGTGCAAAGTGCCTCTAAGCAGATGATAACTTCTTTTTTAATCAAACAGGACACATGGCTGCTGTTGCTTTGGAGAATCGTTATACCGTGAACAGTGATTGGCACACGACTATTTGTTTGCCGGAAGTTATTGACAAACTTCCTAAAAACAACTGTAAACGCCGTATGAGAACTGGCGTTATCGTGGTGCAAGAATGCACCACGATAACGCCAGTTCTCACACGGCCAGACATACAAATGAATTTTTGAAGGTGAACAACGTTGACCTTATGAACCTGGCACCTTGTCAATTTTATTATTTTATTTTTTGGGGAATTTATCGCTCCCCTAACTAACAATAAAACGGCCTCGTGAACTTCGTGAATGACGATATAATTATAATGTTTTAATGTTTCGTGGTTTTTACAAAATCTTTATATTGATATAAAACCGGGCAAACAATTTGCAATCGCTGACATGACCATTTACGTAACTGTAAACTGTCAAAACATTTACGGCTAGTGTGACACTCTCCTGAGCGACTCTCGTCCAAAGAGACTGCCACAGCCAGCCGGTGATAATAGGCGGCATCTAAAGCCGCCAACGGAGTGAAGAAACCGAACTTAAAAACAAAAAATAGCCTACTGAACAAAATCACTAAAATCTTTAAAACGCACATGCCTTCCTGACCGGGTCGTGTACGGAATGCCAGGCGAGGAGGTGGTTGATTTGTCTGAAGGAACTGAAGACGGCAACTGCTGCGGGACTGTAGCCAGGGGATGCCTAGTCGGTGGCACTGCAGGTGGGGGTCGGAAGCCATCGGTGACATCAGCATCGATGTACGCAGGTTTCACACGATCGATGCTGACGGTGACTGTCCTTCCGCCGACGTCAAGCGAAATTGTCTTGTCCCTTCTATCGAGGACGCGGTGAGGTCCGGAGTACGGCGGTTGCAACGATCTTCGAGACGTGTCGTCCCGAACAAATACGTAAGTGGCCGTCGCCAAATCCTCAACCAGTGAAT